GAATGGGGGTTTAGCATGTAATTTGTTAGGAAATTTTAAGTAATTTTACATGTTCATTGACAATCAACATTAAAATTAGCATGGAGTATTAAATATAGGAGAATTTTTCATGTTTAATAATTTAGAAGAGTATTTGATAAAAAGCTATGATGGTTGGGGGAGATTTAATGAAATTTACCTTAATCCAAACCTTGCAAACATTTTACCTAGCCCAATAAGGCCTATGGGCCCTAGGTGTCCCAATTTCTAATATAGGCCAACTTGTTGCTATACTACCACATTTCACTTTCAATTTTTTTTTGTTACAATGGGGGAAAAGCCCAAAAGCAAAGGAAACTAAAAGAGAGAGAGAGAGAGAGAGAGAGAGAGAGAGAGAGAGAGAGAGAGAGAGAGAGAGAGATAAAGGGAGAGACTCTTTCAATTGACTAGGAGGGAAGCCTAATCCTTAGGGGCAAGCCCATGCAATAGGCTAAAATTAGCCATCACGTTTACACTATCATTGACTTCTCTGACCCTTGGCTTTATCACCATAATCCACTCCTATCACAAAGTAGACTTAATTTTGGCTAAAAGGGGAATCCACCTAGGGGCATTAGTCCTTCTCCCCAACAACAGGTCCATAAGAATTTTGGAGTCCATCTCAGTGATGACCTTTCTAAAACCTAGCTTCCATGCCATCTTTAAACCCTCCCAAGCTCCCTAGGTTTCTACATCTAGAGTACTCACTACTTTAGAGAAACTCCTGATCTAGTTCCTATCATGGTCTTTTAAGACACTGCCACAACCTGCTTGCAAACTATTCACCTTTGACAATTTGTATTTAGTTTAACCTATCCCATATTCATAGGCATCCAATTGGCTTCATCCTCATCCATCAGAACTAGATGGGTTGTATGGCTAGAGCTGATTCTCTTGCTCACTGTCATCCGCCATTAATAACTTTAATGGGGTTTGATGGCCCCAAGAAATTTTCTTAAAAAATGCGCTAATTCCTCCATCCCCAAATGCACTAAGAAGTAATTGCCTAGGATTTTACCAATTAAAACCTAGGCCAATAGACAACACTAGATTGGGTTAACACTAATCTTTGCCCTCCAACATAAAGAAGTTAGCCCTAATGGGAGAAGGCACCAATCTAACCTAGACCTCAACTACCACTAGACAATTCCTAAAAGCATGGAGGATCATCCCAGAAGTAGCTTTGCAGTCCCTACATCCTGGATAGCATCCACTCCACTTAGATCTTCTGTAATTAGTGAGCAATTTACCATAAAAAAATATGCCAAGCAAAGACTCTAACCCTTTTTGGCATCTAGAGCTTCTAGATTCCATCCTAGCCTTTATAGTTTGGCTCCACTGGATGACCCTACAACAGCCTGTAAATACTCTAAATATTAAACTCCCCGTCACCCTCCCCTAGCCAAGTGATTAAGTCTAAACCTTACTCCAAGGATGGGGGGAGATAGCATAAGCTTGTGGAATTTTTGAAGCTTGTTTAGGGAGGAATAATCTAGATGCATTCTATTTTATTTTTTTTTCTCTATTTTTTTTTTATTTTTTTGGTAGGGAAGCGAGGAATTACATTTAGCACATGTTTAAATGTTTTATTTTAAAGTTTATGTATTTAATTTTTTTTAAACAAAAAGTTTAAAATGTAAAAAAATTACAAGTTGTTCCTTTCATGGCTTATAGCCTAAAATATTAAGAAATTATAATACGAGGGCTTCTAGGCATTATGTGTTGAGTTTTAAGCTTGTATTTTCTCATAACTCCAAAAGAAAAAAAAAAAAAAAAAAGGAAGGGAAGGAAAAGAAAATTATTAAGTTGTATCATTGGTTTCATTGTTTGAAACTTGACATTTTAAAGAAAGAATATAAATTTAACAATTTCCAGAAATATACAAAACAGAAATCAAAACTTATGCTCTTGCAATTTCTTACGTGTGATGGATCCATAAGATTGGAATAGTAGTAAAAGGTTAAAGTTCCTCTAAGCAGTAATTTGTGGAATTTGTTCAAAAAACCTAACCTCGAGTTAAAGACAGAACGAAATAACAATAGGGGCATTCCTAAAAATAAGATGGGGCTAGATTAGAGGTTTCTCTAAATTTATTGACATAATAGATATGATCTCAGCAACGCATGGGGGACTTGGAAGGGTTTGATAGTGATTTGGACCTTGGGTTTGAGAAAGGTTCTTTTAAAGATAACTCCAAGTTACTTATCGAAATGATCGAGGAAAGATGTTTAGATGATATCTACTATGAGTCCATTGGCCAGAATTAGATCCCTCATTTGTAGGATTGGCAAACGGTGGTCAAATACATTTTTAGAAAGGTTAATAGTTATGCTAATTGTATAACCAAATTGAGTTAATCCCAAAAGATTGTTTTGAAGGATTGGGCCCTTCCTCTCACCCAATAAGGTTAGGATAGTTCTCAGCCATGATAATTTGAGAGTTTGTACTCTCCAAAGATTCATTATTTAGTTTTTTCTTTTTTGAGCTTTGGCCCTCCATTCTTTACCAAAAAAATGACACATTTTCGGATTTGTCTTTATCATAGGGCCCCCTTACTATTTCTGATTGTGTTGCCAACCCAGTAGGTGAATTTTTTAAGTACTACTAAAATTCCAATTACTTCATGGGTCGCCTTACTATTTGGGATTTTTAGTAGAAATCCTTTTCTTATGTGAATGACAGGTCTGCAGGATTTCATTCCAAGGATAGAAATCTTGCAATGTAAGAAATGAAGGCGAATTGAGATTCATTTCACCTTCTTGCTTTGGGTTGCTTTTGGTGGACTAGGAATGAGCTGAGGTGGCCAAATTGAACGGAAAGAAGATAAAGAGTATACACTGTCAAACATATACCTAAAATTTTCAGCCATTTCAAGTCCAAAAATCTAGATTTTATGGGCCGCCAAACCATCCGTTAGTATGTATTTGTTAGAAAGTTGTACAGTTCTAGTCGTGTTTATTTTGAATTTGCTTATCTATTGTATCTTGGTACTCTTTTACGTTTGGATGATCATATTCCCCTTATCTCAGGATACAGCTTGAGTGTCTATCCGGTCCAGAAGCAAATTGTGTCACCTCTAGGTACCTCAACCAAATTTTCCCTAAATTAAGAAAACAAAAGAAAAGGCCAGTACAACATCCAACATCCTTAGGACTAGAGCTGAGCTGAACTAAGCTATTTATAACTTGGGTTTAACTTACTTAAATTTAATTTAATTCAAACTTATTTCATTTTTAGGAGCTAATTTATTTTTTCTTAAACTCGGGTCATATTAGGTTTACGAGTAATTCAACTCAACTCAACTCATTAACTCATATATATCCAAAATTTTAAAAATTGGTAATTTAGATATCTTATTTAAAAACTATTGATAAACAGTTAATTACAATTATATATTCATAATATTTATTTATAATTTAAATTAATTTTAAAATAAACTATTGTGCATAAAATTGAAGAACAACTAACTAACTAATATTAGCAATTTGTTTAACTTTATAAAGAAAACTTACAAAACTAGAAAGATAAAAATATATATAATAAATTTTTTAAAAAATATAATCATGTTAAATATTAAATTTTGTGTGTGTGTATTCAGCTAACTTATAAATTAAATAGATCAAATATCTTTTAACTAAAACTCGACTAATATTTTATGTGATCACTCGTTTAGTTCATAAGTTTCACTTATTGGGACAATGACTGAATCGATTCATAAAATGCTTACAAGCTGGTTCAACTCATTTACACTCCCTAAATATACTCGTTTGGTGTAATTATTACTCTCTAATATTATTTAGACAAATAATAAATTAAAATTAAGATTAACCCGCGTTTGATGTTTCTTGCAGGCAAAATAAGTTGATGCAATTTTGGGCGTGGTAATTAAGGTTTCATGAAGATGATGTCATCATACGAAGTCATAAAATTCTCCAAGAATGAAAAGGGTGCACGACCAAACCAAATTTTTATATTTTTCAATTATTAGCCCCTTCGTCCTATTTATGTTAATCCACACATTGTAATAGCATTTTTTTACCCGACATCATTTATGAGATTCCTTTCTCCATTCCCATTAATTTTCTTACGATTGCTGGCCGACTGAAGTTGAAATAATTACATTAAACTCCTTTAAAATATCATATTTTTTCACTTTATCTCTTTAATTAAAAATGTGTGCAATTAACTCCAAAAGTATTTAGGCGTGATGGTAAATAAATAAAGTTAACTAAACTATATAAAAATACAAAAACATATATAACAATATCTGACATAATTTTGACGCAATAGATCCACAGCCATCCCTCAGGAAAAAAATATTTAAAAAAATTCCTTGGTGACCTTTCAATCATGGCAGAGGCTTGCATGATCTTGACCCTTCATCTGACGGACTATAATTATAGTTATATAAACTCTGAAGATTGACAGAGCTTATCACACTTTTGATAGTGGAAATAAATGTCTTTTATATTTTTAAAATATTCTTTTTATCTATCTACCATATTATTTTAGTTGCGTGAAAGATTAAATTTATAAAATTAATGCTTTTAGTAAAGGAGTCAAATTAAAAAACAGAATTTCAATTAACTTTTTTATTTCTTAGAAAGATCCATACACATGCATAGCACATGCCACGCCACCTACTTTGTAATATTATGAAGCCCAGAAATTTCAACCGTCGACCGCTGTTGCATGGGTTCAATCATGTTGGGTTACTTGTTGCAGCAATAAGATTAACAATGCATGGTTTCACCAGCTAATTATATTATACAGTACATAAATACATAATTTATACGTTTCTTTTCTTGCATTGATGAACTTTAACTTGGTCAAGTCTTCTTCAAAACATTAATTAATTATGTGATTTCATTTATTTAATTTTTTTTGAGGAAATGAGTTATACGATTGTGTTTATATATATCAGCGTGTAGAACTCCGCAAACACAACCTTCAGATTTTCTTAAATCTTTTGCTTGAGTGAGTAATGGAGAAATCTCCATCACTGTGTTTTCCCTCTCGTGGGAAACGGGTGACAATACTAAGCATTGATGGAGGAGGAATTAGAGGCATCATTCCAGGGGTCATCTTGGCAAAACTAGAATCACAGCTTCAGGTAAACTGCATGTGGGTGTGTGTGCGCGTGTGTTTATCACTTGTTTAAATTTGAAGACTTGTTTTATTTTTATATTGTATATTAATTAACACCCAAAAGTTCGAAATTTTATACAAAAAATCCGAATTTTAAAAGTATATCAGAAAGTTTTTTTAAAGTTAACGAGACAATTATACAGCTTCTTTCAAGACTTACTTGAACAATGCAGGAACAAATGTAATTAGTGACAAATATTTTGCTATTGCTAATTGGATAAAAATTACCGATAAACTAGTGATGACGTTTTTTTTGTCACTAAGATATTAATTTGCAACAGATTTGCAACAAAAACACTGTCATTGCTAAGTTTTTTTTTTGTAACAGATGGGCAACAGATATTTTTTGTTGCTATTTACAATTTTCTTGTTGTGAACTCCATCCACCCAAGGTAGATCCACCTCGCAGGATGCATCACATCATCACATGTAATCCAAGAATCACATTCCATTCAAATTCCTGAAAAGAATGTAGGGGTGTTCTCATTGAAAGCTTTTCTTGCTGCCATTCGGCATGCAAGCTTTTAAGCCAAAATCAGGAACTTCAAATTTTAAACCCTAAAGACTTAGTTTTTGAAGCTAAGATGAAGGGGGATTTTCTCAAAATACAAAAAATAAAAATAAAAAGTAGTTTTTTAATCTCAGTGAAATGGGTTCTTTCTAAAAATGAAAAAGCAAATTGTTCATTCGTTCTCTAAAATTAAAGTTCTAGCTAGATTTCCAAATAATCACAGCTAGAAAATTAATTTTTCATAATTATATATACTGCTCTCCAAACTTGAATATTTGTATAATTACAATAACTTGTTACTTACTTGATTGAGTTTATTTACTTCAATTTAAAAAGTAATATATGTAATCAACTATTTGTTGAATATAACTAATTTTCACTCTAAAAATTTGATGTCTTTGAATGATTAGGAGCTGGACGGGGAGCAAGTGAGACTAGCAGATTATTTTGATGTGATAACCGGAACAAGCACTGGCGGTCTAGTCACAGCCATGCTAGCTGCACCAAACAAGGATCAACGCCCTCTCTATGCCGCAAAAGACATAGTCCCCTTCTATCTCGAACATTCTCCTAAAATCTTTCCCCAAATAAGGTGAGAGATGGCGAAATGGACGGGTTTGAGCTCATCTAGATGAATTACATGTTGAGTTAAATGGCTTATACCCTAACCCATCCATTTATTATATAAATTTAATTGGGTAGATTGAAATTAGGTACTGATTAGATTAATAATCCATTTAATCCGTCATTAAATACTAAACAAGTTCTCTCTCCACTCTACGTACCTTTTCTGTTTCTCCAAAATTCTTTCTCCATTCTTTATATTCTTGTGCTAACGTGCACCAGTCTCTGTACTAACTTAAACCATATACCCCACATATTTTCTATAAGATGAAATATTCTAAATGAATGAATAACATACTTTTATAATGATCAGTTGGTCCGGTAGTTGAACATTTAGTGTAAATTAATTACACTGTACTCTTAGTTTTATGTTAATTTGATATTGGTCCCTGCAGATTGTAGTTTCAATTGTATATATACTTATATTCTGTCTCTCCCGTTTGGCTTCGTTTGTGGACTGTCCGAGAGTGCAGAGGACCATTCGCTTCGGCCATAAATTTCTTTAAAGCTTTAATGGGACCTGAATATGATGGCAAGTATCTGCACAAGCTAATAAGGAGTATACTTGAAGAAACAAAGTTGCACCAGACATTAACAAACGTTGTCATTCCAACCTTTGACATCAAACTTCTCCAGCCAGTTATCTTTAGCTCGTTTGAGGTAAAGGGTTTGTTTGGTTAGGCTTGTAAAATGGATTTTGAAGCAAAAATTTAAAAAAATAATAATAATTGGGTTTTTTGTTCCTTTTCAAATGGATTTTTTCTAATGCAAAAAGTAATTTCATTTTTTGTCAGGGTTTTTGATATTATAAGTTCTAACTTCTTTCAATAAAAATGCCCAGAAACCAAATTTACACTCTAGGGTTTTTCTTTTTCTTCAAAAGAAAAATAATATTAAAAAGAAAAGAATCAAACTAGCATTTCTGTCATGCATTTCACAAATCTTAAAAGCATCAAAATATGAGTTTTAAGGAAAGAATTAATTTTGCTCTTAAAGAATGTTAGAAGACATCAATCATATTTTGTCGAGTACTGCACCCTGCAACTAGTTTAAGTTAATTCGATTTAAATTATTTAAAATTTAGCCTAAGCCAAATAATTACCTAGTTAGTTTGAGAAGAGGAAAAAAAATATTGTTGAGGTTGGGTTAGCTTTAAACAACTCTTAAGTAAATTTAGGTGGATTGGGTTAATATGAGTTAGGAAATTAATGAGATCCTATTATTTTTATCTCTTTAAATAAAAACTTCAACATTTAATTCAGAGAAAAGATCATGACCGTTCATTTATTCAATATATATACGTACATGTATATCCTAGAAATAGATAAATAATGATCAAAACCAAAAAGGATGATGGATTTATACTACTTTTTTTAGAACATAATTGTAAATACTTGCGGGTGATACAGGAGAACAGCAAACATATAATCGATGGGAAACTATCAGACATATGTATAGGCACCTCGGCTGCCCCAACTTATCTTCCAGCCCATTACTTCAATAACCAAGACGACCAAGGCAGGATGAGAGAATTCAACCTCATTGACGGCGGTGTTGCTGCCAACAATCCGGTAACAATCTATGTCTATAACTCATTGCAGGAGAGAATCCTACTTGAGAGATACGCTTCTAAGAATAAATATCTCAAACTTCTCAGCAAAATTGGAAATCATTATTTCAGCAAAAAGTAAAGCGTGGCCCCTAAAACTTTATAAGTAATATAATGACCCGCAAGTTTTGTAAAGCACATATTTTCCACTTCAGTTTTGTCAGGATTCAGGCAGGCACTTGTACAGATCCTCTACAAGAACTAGAGATGTCCACTTCTATCTCTCTAAGCATTTAATTTAAGCGAAAGGAAGCTGAATTTTTCTAAGGAAAGATACACGTGAGATTGTACATCTCTAATTCTAATTACAACTTGAAATGTTAAAATAGGATGGTGGGAGTCGTCTTCCCCCTTCCCACCCTCCAAGGTTTCAAAAATCAGATTATACACGTTACGTATTTATATTATCTAAGAAAATTAAATATTTTCCCCTCAATTATGTAAATCAGTGTCCCCCAAGATTTTATAAACGACATCTTGACCCCTTTAATTTTGTCATGATTCAAGCAGGCACTTGTAGCAATAGGTGAAGTCACAAGACAAGTGTTCAAGAAACATCCAGGTTTCTACCCCGTCAAGCCCGAGGACTACGGCCGTTTTATGGTGATATCGGTGGGTACAGGCTCATCCAAAGTCGAGCCGATTTATGATGCCAAGAAGGTTGCAAAGTGGGGGCTTCTGAGTTGGCTCCACAACAAAAATGGCTCTACTCCACTTGTGGATGTCTTCAATCAGGCCAGCTCTGATATGGTTGATTTCCATCTCTCTGTGGTCTTCAAGGCCCTTCATTGTGGAGAGAATTATCTTCGAATCGAAGTAAGCTTGAGAACACACTCATACAAGAATGTTCCTATATATATCATATGGGGAGTTAGGTTAGAGATGTCTTTTTCCAGTTAACTTTAAAGCCAACTGAAGGGTCAGTTAACTTCTCGTAATAAGTTGTTGATGATTTACTTGTGTACGAATTCAGAATGACACGTTAAGAGGGGTTTTGTCATCGGTTGATGTGGCAACGAAGAGGAACTTGGAAGATCTGGTTAAGGTTGGTGAAAAATTGTTGACGGATAAAGTGTCACGTGTTAACATGGAAACTGGGGTCTACGAACCGATCAATGATGGAGAAACAAACGAGGAAGCACTCAAAAGGTACATGTTCTTTGTCTATGCATGATGGATTGTTTGATTCATTTCTTTATTGAAGAAAAAAATTCAAAGTTTGCATGAAAAAAAGCCTTGATTTTGGCTTCTCCAAAAGCTCAGAACAATTAGGCTTTTCTGAGAGAGCCCTCTTTCCAAAAAGGAAACCACATAAACAAATAACAAATGAATAAAATATATTAAAAATAAAGTGAACAACCAAAGGAGTGCCTCAAATCGCCAGTACAATAAGCAAATTTTCTTTTTGTGTTTTGCCTTTATAATGTTTTCAGGTTCGCAAAAATGCTTTCGGATGAAAAGAAAGTCAGAGTTGGAGGGCAAGGAGACGAATGAATAATGGCATCAATAAGCCCGGAAAACCTTTTACCTTGTTTGTTGAACAAATAATGTTTGTAGCGAGAATAAGGAATACTGGCGTTGCACCTGATTTCATTCCATCAGCCTGTCAATTTGGGTGACCAAGAAACAACTTAATTATTACTTTTGGTATTGCTATCGGCTACTTCATTTTGGTAAAAGACCATTTCGCATGGTCGTTAAGCTAGCTATGAGGTCAGAATTGGAAAGGGTTCTCTTTCTTATTTATTTAGTTTGCCCCAAAGAATTTTCTTTTTTATTTTTTCCTTTCTATGTAGACAGAAAGGTATTTTTGTTTTAAACAAGAAAAAACTGAACTTTTATCTTCGTAAATTCATCTTAATTTTAAATTTTATTCTAGTAATGGTAATTTTAATTATAACAAACATAGCACATAACCCCAATTCTTCCTAGAGATAGTCCCTCGCAGTTAACAAATGTTGAAGATGTACTTCTACTAGCGCCAAAGAATCTGTCACTCTCTCAACATGGAGAAAATTGAAGTTCCCATAAACTGAAATAGGGACTCTCCCTTTAACAAGCTAGCCAAGCACCAAACTACAATATTTTGTAGTTGAAAATATGATCCAAAAAATAATTCCCAATACCAAAAATGTAAATATTGCCTCCAAATTGTAAGAACATTGTACATAAGCTTTGTCCAATGTCCAATGTCCAATGTCCAATACTTTTATGATGATAAAACCAGATTGAGCATAGTAAAACGGGAAAGGGGAATCAAAAACCTTCATTACCAACCAAACCAAAAAAAAAAAAGGTAATTGGTCACTGAGGCTACCATAAGTAAGAAAAAGAAATAGACAACTAAAAAGTCAATATCTCAGAAACTAAACCAGGGGTCCCTCTCTCCTCTATGCAATTCAAAAATGAAAGCTTTTTTTTTTTTCCTTTTTTTTTTCCCTGAAAAGAATAGCTTATGACATTGTACAGAGCCAGGCTTTGCAACAAATGCTCGTATGCCTATCTACATATCTATTTACAAGTGGACAGCTTCCATGTAAATTAAATGAACAAATAAAGTTAGTTTAAGTTATATTACACGTTCCAAAACTACGCAAAAATTTGCTGAATGACAGTCTCAGCATTTCCATTGCACTGAGCAAGGAGTTGGATGGCATCTGCTCTTGGTAATGCCAGGAATTCCTGCACCGGCCCACAACATATATGGTAAAAGAAGAATCAAATAGGCATGATGCCAGAGAACATACAAATTCAAAAACCACCAGATTGCTTTGTAGGAGCAGTTGACAAAAAGGGACATCCATACAAAGTTGCCAGATAACAGAACCAATGGTTCCAAAATATCAATGATATAAATTAAGCAACAAAAGCCTCCAAAAAAGTATGCTTTCTATCAATTAAGCATCCAGGTTAGGCTTATTTACAAAAAGCATGTTATAAAGAATATCAAGTATGATGCCCAAGCTAAAAAGCTATGCACCTTTTGCATCACAAACATCAAAAATTAAAGAAGCAGGCATCTGTATCTAAATATAGGTTTTACTTCCAAAAGTCAAAGGCAGGATATCTGTTTACCAAGTTGATTTAAAAATCTTTCCAAAGATATTTTAGATAACAGACCCCTTTTCAGAAAAAAAAGAGAATAAAAAAAACAAAAATTAATTGTTATCAGAATTCTCAGAAACTAATTCCACTCAAAAACAAGAACAATAGAGTTTTCAAGATCTTTAGTATTTTTTAGTTTGCGGAAACACAAAAGGAAAACTGAAATAACAAGACAGCATATAAATCCAACAGACCGTTACTCAGATTAAATAACAAAGATGCAAAGATCACCAAGTTCCATATGATAACAGAAGAAACAGAGTACTAAAGATCAAAGAGAGTTGCACCAAGAAAAACTACTGGTCTACCAAAATGCAGCATAGCTTACCATTACTTTGAGTATTGCATTTTCATCACAGACGACATCTCTAGATGACGTATGCGTTGGACTGTTACCATCTTCTTGAGTCTTACCACTAGAAGATATTGTAACTTGGGAACATCCTTGAGTGCTACTATCTGCATGTGACTTTGAGGCAGCATCAATAAGCAAAGGACCCCTGACTTCTTTCAATGAGTCAATCCTTAGAAGTCCTTCAAAGCGATCTTTACACATTTGCAGCTTAAACCATTCGTTGTGTGTGTGAAGTGTTGCTCTAATTATCTTCATAAGCTGGGGCTCTTCAATGCCAAGCCTCTTACCAATAGCAACCTGTGGACTACCAAGTTGTCATACTTTGCATTACTCAAAATTATGTCTTACTAAAAAATAGCCATAATCAATGAAAACGTTGAGCATCAGTCATCTTGGGGCAATAAAAGGATAAATTACTCAAGAACCTCCTAAGCTTTGAACTCCTACCAAGTCACTGCCTTGGACTACAATACACAGCCAGCTACTCCTCCCAACTATTTTAAGATTCACTCTAAGCCCTTCCATAAAAGCACCACTGGAAAACTGAATGATGAGCAGTCATTGTAATTTTCAAATTTCACATAGCCTCAAATCCCTAAATACCTGAACTACAGAAAGTTCCATCACCAAGTCATTATTCCAGCCTTTTTGATATGCATTCACGATGTTGATATACAAAAAATGAAGCACATATTATTTTTTCATAGACCAAAAACAAGTTTCCTTTATAGATGGATGATGACAGGGAACATAACCTGATTATTCTAGCTTTTGATATGCATTCACGATGTTGATATACAAATAATGAAGCACATATTATTTTTTCATAGACCAGAAACAAGTTTCCTTTATAGATGGATGATGACAGGGAACATAACCTGATTAGGTAATAAATACAGCTGATATGTTCATTTTTTGGACTGATGTTAAACGAAGAAAATGCACAAGTTTACTTCAGGGTAATTAAGTGATGTGGATCATCCTACCTCCCTCCTCCCCCCCGCCCAAAAAAAAAAAAAAAAAAAAAGCACGCACTCGCACGTGCACAGAGAGATACATACATATATACAGATAATAAATAATTGAAAATGCCAATCCTATAACTGGCATTTGTTTTTCTAATAACAATTCTTCATTTATGCTCACATTATAAACACAGCAACCATGTTCATGTATCTTTCAAATCAACTTAGCTTGTCAAGAAAGATGAGTCATGAACCTTGAAGTGATTCCTTATCCCCCATTCCCCTGTAGTCAGTAGGGTGGCAATGTGTGCCACTGCCACCTGATAAGATTAGCTAAGGTTTGCTGGAAGGAAATAGTGGTACCACTTGCCCAAACTATTAAACTTAATACATTGATGGCAAAAGTAGTTCATGTTACATGCTACCTTCTTACAGAAGTATAAACATTGGAAGAGCCTACTCACAAAAATTTGCCACTGAACAAGCTATAACACAGATTCAGAAACAACTTTCATCTCATTCAGTGTCATGGATTACTGAAAATTAAAAACAACTATAGCTTCCAAATGGACATACCAAAATTAACATCAGAGCAAAAGGATATACCTGGAGTGAAGCTGCCAGAGCATGAAAGGGCAAACCTCCCCCAAGTGCATCTTGGCTAGGTCTCAACAAAGCCAATAACGTCTCCTTCAAGGGCTTCAGCAAGGCTGGATCCTGAGCTGCCAGAGGGCCTAAATGGGAACAGGCAACCCTTAGTGCGCTGGAATGATCACCAGAACTGACCAGCTTCAAAAATTCAATCTGCAGTTAAAAGGGTAAGACCATGAATGTTTTTCTAAACTTCAGCAAGAAAAGCACACTTCCCTCAACATTTTTTCACCATGGTATCCATAACAGACTCAGATTTACCTGCTTAAGTTGGAAGAGCAAAAAAGCGTTTTGCACAAAAAAGTTTGGGTCCATGGCATTTACTTCTTCCACAACTTCTGCAGCCATTCCTCTGCTAGCTAGCTCCTTCATTGCCAGCACAATCTCATACTTATCCTCCCGGCCACTAATCTCATCCACGGTAGAAAGTGATTCAGAACCCTGCAGAAGAACTTGTCTAAGAGACCATTCCACAACAGAAATATCAAAAGAAGAGGGAAAACCAAACTATTATGAGAGTGTTTGACTTTGCTTATTAAAAATTGCTTAAAGCAGTAAGGCGATTAAACAATATAAAGTACCATGCTCGTATATGACAAATAAACAGTAACCTATTTGGACAGAGTGCTTAACTTATTATAAAAATGTTAAGCAATTTAAGTTTTTGGCAATAAAAAGTGCTTTGTTAAGCTGTTTTATTGTTAAAATGACCAAAAAGGACATTTCATTATTTTTTTCTTAAAATACCTATTTCAAAACAAATTTGACCACTAAAATTGAAAATAAATATATTTAACTATAACACCAATAATTTTTTCTCAAAATACCATGCATATACATACATAAGCATATATGTAAATATATTAAATATTATAAATTTAATAAATATTTGATTTTTTCTTAGAAATCACGTATAAAGTTCACACTATAATTTGGATTCTCAACCAAAAAAGGGATAAACATCAGTACATCTCAAATAAAAAAGAAAAAAAGAAGTCCACATGATTGCCACTAAAACATATGAAAATTTCCTAACTTTCTCATTCCATGTGCAGCTTCTCATTTTCCATTCATAATGCTTTGTAATTCTAATTTCTTATTCATGCCACGTTCTGCTTATTTGCTGCCTTTTTTATACCCAAGAAAAAAAAAAGAGAAATGGTAAGATTAATAATGGATTGCTCTGAGTAGTAAATAAGTAGACTTTCAGCAAAGCCAAATGCCCTCTCTTTGTTTTCCACTTATTTCCTGCTTATTTGCTGCTTAATTTTTTTACAAAAAGCCAAGATTAACGATGGTCTGCTTTAGGCAGTAAATAAGCAGCTTTTAAGCAAAACCAAACACCCCCTATAGGCAGGCTGTTCCTTTAACATATTTCTGCTTACCAGTGAAGTGGTATTGCTAAGTTCTTGCTTACTATTTCCACTGGGGACTTCATGAATGACATCATATTTCTCTTGTCTACCCCTCCAGCGCTTGCGTTTGCTCCTTTCTCCAAGTCCATGGCTTCTACTTCGTTGTAACAACCTTGAACTTTCAGGAAGGTGAGTTCCACTAGTGCAACAGTCTTCGTGACTATTTCTGGTCTCACAAGAGTACCGTTCTTCAGTATCTGCAGCTTTCACACTCACCACATCAATATTCATGTCAGGAGAACCATCTGTGTGAGCATTACTAATGGAAGTTTCACCATCTGAATGTTTGCTGGTTGAAGACAGAACATCAAGGGAACAGCTTCCTGGAGAACAATGTCCAGGCTGTGCTCGACTTACTGCTCCAGACCCCAATGCAGCTTGCGTTCCTGCTGCTGTACATTCAAAATTAAGGTGGTGATACATCAACTACTAAAAATATGAAGAGAAAAACCTTAAGTCCAAAACACGACTAAGTCAAGTTTCTGTGTTCACCTGGGGGTGTAAGACCAGAGTCCACAATACCCCTATAAACACAATACTCTCGAACAAGTTCATCGACCATGGAAAGATCCAACCTCATCCGACATAACTCATTCTATGACATACAAGAAAAAGAAGAGTTGTTACCTCCAAGCATTTCAACTGCTCAGCTTATATTTCAGTAAACCAGATCCAAAATTTTGAATTCCAGTTACCAAACATATTTTCCCAAATATATCTAAAAAAAGGCATATACATATATGACTGTGAAGACAACATTGATAAAACATGTGCTTTTTTTTTTTCCATTTTGCAAATTCAAACTGCTAACAAGCTACGTTTAAAGACATCCCTTGGACTTCCCCTTCATACAAAAAAGGTTGGTCCAGTGCACAAAGCTCCCTCTACTTTGTGGCTTAAATTATCAAATGTGTGCAGCCAGCCTCACTCTTCATGCATAGAGACTATATCCTAGAGCGAAATCCCTGACAAGTGCACTGCAATGGGGAAATCTTTACTAGGTGCACCCACATCCTTCATCTATGGAAACAAATAAACACTAAACCACAGAAATATATTATTTGTACACTGTAATGCTACAGACATGAAGGAGACATCATAAGGGCTTGAAAAAGTAGAACAAAGCATCTGCAACCATTTATACAAGTATAATGTTGGAAATCCAAGTTCATATAATTTATGTTTGGATTCATCTAGAATATCAAACTCTTATTTTGTGTTTGATGCAAAGTAGGTTTTTTCTACAATGCATTTTAGCCCTTCAGTTCAGACCACGTTATTTGTCGTCCTCATCTTATTTATCTATTGGACCAATTAGAAAAAACACATGAGCAAAACAATAAAATAAAATAGCAGAGGACTAGCCAGCAGGTTGTAGATTCTTAAATTAATGTGGTTTGACTGTTAGATCAGATAATAAAAATCTTGCCTAGAAGATGAAACTGCTAGGTGACAGTGATAATAGTAAAAAAAAAAAAGTCATCTCTTCATCACAGAACTAGGGCTAATTTCTGACGCAGCCATAGTAGTACAAAGTCTGAATGAATCCAAGAAGAACAGGAAAATTAAAAGCTAAGTCCATAACTGTAGGAGTAAAAAGATACAAATTCCTATACCCTACTCTCCTCGTCTGCTTCTGCTTTTGATCCATCTGTCTACAATTTCTTGTTCATATTTAAAAGATGTTTAGGTATCTTATGATGACAGATAATTCAAAAAGGAAGGCGAATCAGTAAATCACGATAAGGTTCCAATATGGTAACTGTGAATGCTAATATATGTAATGAAATATAGAACTTGATATCCCTTTAAAGAAACAATAGCATTAAAACAACAGGTTCTGGCTCATTTTTTAAATGTCAAATGCCACATGTGTGTGAGAATTGGGTTGAAGGCCATATCGTTATTCTCTTAAACTATAAACGAGGGATACGAAGAGGGTAAAGGACATACACAACAGAATTCTAGGTTCCAAAATTTATGGGATGGACAATGTGAGGAGAGCCCTCTCCCAGAAATTTGAAGCATTTAAATTCTTCCATCACCACTCCCTCAGCTATGTACCAAAACTCTTTCTGCACTTTTCTGCCTGGGAACATAGTCTCTGAAATTCACTTTGAGTGCAAGAAACAACTATTTCAAAATTTAAGCTCAATTTGTTACCAAAATCACCAACCAGGTCCCATCATCCTCATCAGAACGGATCTAAACCAGAGTCATCTGACTAGTGCAGGACATGTGAATGTATTTCAAGAACATTAGGAAAGCCTTTCCCACAAGGTAGAAGGTCAGAAACCTTCTGACTGGGTACAGAAACCCATTGGTGCAGACTGCAGAGTGAAGTTAGTAGATCTATAACAAACCATTTTCATTTGAAGTATAGCTAAAAGAATGCAAAATTCAAATTTTACTTTATATACAGAAAGTGAAGGGGGAATTAGATAGCTCCAACGTGTTGTTTGTAGAAGTCTCAAGTCTCCCATATAAATTGGAAGTTGTGAATGATAAAAATCTCAAAGAACTGTCATATACATATTTTTCTCTTTATATTTGAACATGGAAGAGGAAAATAGATCTTTGCTGCACAAAGGCTCTAAGGTTACACAAGGGCAATCACAATCCTCTAAACTCAACTATTCTTTGAAAAGAAAAATTATATAGACAAATAGCTAGGCTACTAGCCAACTAGCTCTCTAATTCTAATGGAACAATGATTTCAAATGAGGACACGAATTCACTTGATTATTTGGAACCACTTAGACCTACTATAAATCATATGCAAAACCCTACAGCCTAATACAATTTAGAAGTACCATTTGTTGGTTTGCATATCACTTCTTTACAAAAATAAATTTTTTAAAATAACATGAAATCTAGGAGCATCCAAGCATCTTGGACAAGAAAATTAGATGAATCTAAAATCTGTGCACATCATATCTCGCAGAAAACTATGCTTAAGATTCAAACCATGGAAATATATATAGTGCATAAACATGAAGCCAGGCAGAATCACTTGAGAAATTTCTATTTTCAAATACACAGAACATTTCCTGCTCAAGATGGAAAAATGTGCAGCTCCAAACCCTAGGCTTAGCCGTAGCAGTACTTGTGAGGTCCATCTAGAGATTATGAATTCCCCAATACCCCCAGGTTTAGGCCTTCAAAATAACCAGAAAGGGGAAAAAAAGAATAGATAAAAAGTGCACCTCAAAAGATAAGTTCAAAAGATAATAATAATACAGCAAGGAAGAGAGAGTAATATTCTAACTGAAGTAGAACCTGAAATGCTTGAAATAAATCCCCTCTAGCAAATTTCAGGCTGTCAATAGCACCCTGTCTTGTGAGCTCTACAGCATGGGCTAGGGCTTGTATATCCACCTGGAATCAGGAGAGACAAATATTTAAATTATTATAAGATGCAATCCACAGAAGTAAAAAAAATTAAAAAAAAATTGACTCACACAAAGACCTGGCTACTTAACATTAAACAGATAATTCCATACATACGCCCTGAAAAACGCTAATAACCATTGAACCAACAAAAAAGGATGACATGATTTTCTCTTAAAATGACAAACCTCATCAAATGGAGGTGCTTCATACAAACTTTCCCGCAGTGTAGCAGCAGGATCGCGTTCCTCCAGGAGCAACCTCTCATCAAGATCTGAAATCGGTGATGAGATTCCTTGACGAAAGCAAAATTCTTTATGTATGCTACACATTAAAGGAAGGACATCAAAAAGCAATGGCAACAAGTTTGACAAAAGAGAAAAATATCCAATGGAAGTGGATCAAAGAAAAATTGCTGACTGACCTTATCAAATATCTCAATGTCATTGAAAGGACTGGATCATATGCATTTAAATGAGCTCTTAAAACAGACGACATCAACCCAGCAATCTCAAGCCTTCTCCTTTCAGACCACTGAAATAATCATAGGTTATTTATACATCCAATAAGCACACTAGAAGAAGTCTAATAATGAGACATCCATGCGGCAAGCAAGCATACATAACTGCATCTCTTAATAGGTAAAGATCTCATGGTAATTCTAAAAAATCAGGCAAATGAAACAGAAGACAAAACAATGGGAGAAACAGGAGTTTGGTAATTTGGCTGCTCAGAAGCCATAGATTTTTGGAATCATTAAGTAGCAGGATGTAACTTTATTAAAAGTCATAATATCTCAGAGAGAGAAGCTAAAGAGTAGTTAACTTAGAATTGGTGATGAGACACAGGTTAGCAGACCCTATAGATGAAAGGAGTCAGAATAATAGCAGCCTGTTAGGCATATTTTCCTTTCAAGTCCCAACCATGCATATAATTAAATGTTCAGAAACACCATTCCTTTATTGTCATTTCATTTTCTCAGGTAAAGAGATTTCAAAAATTTTATAAAATGACTTTAAAATTCCATAAAAATAGAGGTATATTTAGGAATAATCACCCAAACAAAGTTTTATGTGTCAACGTTAATTTTTTTGCATTTTCAAGATAAGAAGATGATTCTTGAAGACAAAATGAAATATACTCCAACCCTTTTCAGACTTGCTAAATCCCACTTCAATGCCTACCCATACACGTAGCTTAGCAGTTGCTAGTGGAGGAGAAGGCAGAATACAACGTAGGGGATCCAGTTTTCCAAAATGCTGCACTCAGATATATTAATATTCTTTGATAGGGAACAAATGATCTAGAAAGAGACATTGCATAATACGAAGTCAAGTGGCCTAAAAAATGAAATTTTGATAAGGAATTGACTCGAAATGGAAATACTGGCTTTTGGCATTTCTTTTTAATTTCATGGAGCACAATAATCTAGGAGGTTAAGGCCATGCAGCCACAATAATGCTTTCCATATGCAAGTATAGATATTGTCTTATTAGAAGCTAAAAATCTTCTCGAGGAGGAAAGGATATCGTTGACGCTGTTCTAGTGGCAGATGTCATATTGCAACAATACAAAGAAAGCTCAAATAACTCTAAACTTAGCCCTGGCTTACAAGGCTTTATACCACATGCCATGGAGTCATGAACAGCGTGTGCTTGATAGAAGAGATTTGCACTTTCTGCATTTCTACAATTAGGTTTTTGATTTTGGCAATGCCTTGCTTCAGGATATTTTACTTGTATGAGAGGTTTGAGAAAAGGCAGATCATCTGTCCTTATCCCTCTTCATTACTTTCAATAAAAGGTTTGAGAAAGATGACAAGTCAAGCTAGAGGAGAGCATGAGAAGGATTTAGAGATCCATAGGCCTCTGAGAAAAATTGGTGTCAATATCTCATTTCTTGCAAAAACCCTCATCATCTTTTGTGATGCACTGGCATGATCAAGAGATCCTCATATTAACCTCAATACCTGTACTATTTTGAGTCTGTATCTGACGTGATGGCTAATGTGGAGAAGATGAGAAAGTCAAAATAAAGAGGCACGAGTATGTATTAGAGGTTGATACTTCACTGGGGCATCTACAAGCTTTCTTTGCCTCTATTAGATGTTTTTAAGTGTTCAAAATATCTCAGTATAGAACAAATCCCCTTAAAGCTTTCTTGGAGCAATAGCTGCATTGAGAATACTAGATGAACTGATTGAAACAACTTATATGAAAAAGCATTCCAGAAGTCATCGCCAATTTGAAGAGCTTGCTCCTAGATCACATATTTTAATCACAATATTGTTCATATCTAAATATTTCACCAGTTACACCCTTCATTTTAACTTTCCCACTCAAGTTTGTTCAAAATAAAATGCAACAAAATAAAGCAAAACCCACAAACATCAACGAGTCTTCTCACCTCTTATGTCCATAATTGAGAGGACTATTTTATTTAACAGCAGTGATTCATTATCTATGTCATTAAAAATAACTAAACAAGATATTAAGCAATGCTAGTCCATCTAATCACAACATAAATACCAAAACTTAAATTTGTTGCACGCTTGTTGGCAGCTTTCATTTATAAAACAAGATAGTTTCCACTTTCCATGTGTTGAAGCCATCCAACAAACTGATGTACAATTGTAAACTCTTATGAACTATCCAAAGAACTGAGCACAAATATAAAATATTGTCATCATCTAAATGCATTTTATTATTAGTACTGAGATTTTCTCTTTCTTTTTCCAGATATAACATAAATTATTTCCACAAGTTTCTATCCTTTTTTATTTTCTTTTTCTTTTTGTCTGAGGGGTAAGCATTTATAATTGGAGGAAACTCATGAAATATGATGTTGTGATATATTTAAAGGTTGTCTCCAGGCCATGAGCCTCCCTGCTTCGCAAGGCCTTGAGATGTGCCATTGAATGTTGTAATATATTGATTTAGACATATATATTACATTACATATAATGGGCTTTCCTAGACAAATGCATAAGTTCTTTTTTCAATTTTGTGTGAATTCAGTCACAGAACAGTGGGAATATAGCTTTCCCTTCCCACGGCCCTTCCCAATGGTCTCAGTAATACCTTACAGCAAGTACCTAGGTGAAGTAATCTGATGAGACAATAAGCCAAAAGATGGTACAATTTGGAATTATATTGGGATGTAGAAAACGGAAAAGACAAATTAGTTTCACTCCATGACAGGAACAGTTCGTAGAGAAGCTTTCTTTGCCTTGTTCAAAATTTTCATTCTTCCAAAACCAACACTTAGAACTTTGCTCATTCTTTAGCATTGCGACAACACCCCCCCCCCCCCCCCCGGGCCTACACAAAGACAATAGGGGGAAAAATTAAAGGATTTCAGGGGCGAAGAAAACATAGAAACAAGTAAATTAAAATAGATTACATAAACAAGTTCTATCAACAAAATTGTAGATATACTTAATCTGTCAATCTTGCCACTTGAACCAAGTCATCAAATAATCCTATTATTATCCCCCATCTATAACGAATAATTCTTTTATTCCACATTTCTGCAGTAGTTACAGTTGTGAATTATCTGTTATCTAATAATAATGAATTGTAACGTGAAATGTTCACAGAATCTGAACTTCTAATATTACATGAATCATAAATCATAAAGGTAACTGATACTTGTACCAAATAAAGTGCGAGCAACCTCCCAAGGCAGTGGCTTCCCTCCATTTCACATTCTTGACTGAGAGGATTTTTTCCTTTCATTTGGTTTATTGTTTATGGAAAAGCAAAGAAATTTCTGATATTAAGTGTCTCTCTTCCAAATAAACATTCGAATACTATATACTGCTTATATAATTGATTGTCAGAACTCATGAAAATCAATAATTACAGCCAGCGTTGGGGGCAGATGATGGAGTGCAAACACATATGGGCTACAGACAGGAGTCAGAAGATCTTCCTTATCAAGAAATTAGCATTATATCATTAGAGCATAAGAAATTTTCAACATCAAATGGTGTAACAAAATGATATCAGATCCTGTTATAAACTGCCATGCAGCAACAGAATTTAAAAGTGCATGATATATACAGGCATGACACTTCTAAGAAATAAAACGAAGAACCTAATAGGTTTGTGAGTGGAAATGTGGTCATCTTTCTGGGCAACATAACATAGAGGCTATGGCAATAACATGCATAAACTCATAATGTGCTTCCTATGCACAAAGCAGTATTACATACCTCATTTGCCACTGGAGAAGTCTGGTCATCTTTGTCAAAGATGAAGGCTAGAAGAACATGCTTAAATTCCTCATATGCTTCCTTGAAATAAATGCACGAATGTTAAAGAAATGAAATCGGATTAAAAAGAAATTGTTTTAGAAGATATTAAGTAAGAGGCTAAAGCATTTTTGAAATTTCCAGGAGAAGAAACTTTTTTTAACTAATTAAATAATAGGAAATCATCTCAACTCAAATAGACCTTCTTTTCAAACTAAATGAGGTTGCCAAATCAACAAAGGAAGAACAGTCTACAAAAACACGATGCCACAGCAACCTCACATCTACAGCTCCAGTGGATCTTAATTTTCAAACATCAGTTGTTACACATAATTAACATGATAGTATCAATTTTCATCAAGGGAACACATGACATGTATTGACCTTGGATGTCATAGCTTAGTTTAATTTTCATGGTGACGTTATGAGACACCACACGGAACATTTCAAGTAACAATAATCCGTGAAATTCACTTATCTCACTCAGGTTGCAATCATTAAATTGTAAATTGTATATAGGAAGCTAAAAGACAACTTACTGGGAAACTTTCAAATTGAATTCTTTAATGGTAAGAAATTGTAGGCAAAATAACTTTGGATAGTAAAAGCCCTTTTACCGTGCACATAATTGGTAACAAGAAACATAATTTTAAAAAAATGAATAAAAGAAGAATATAGTAAAAGAAGGCAAGTGAAGAAATATAGAAACAAAAACTTGAGCATACCGGATAGGCATCAAGGGCGCAAGGCGCAAGCGCTGTCCGCAAGCAATTAATTGCAGAATCGCGATCCTCTGCAGTTCCTCTTCTCAATAACTCAATGAATTTCTATTTCATCCAAAAGAAGAAGAAGCAGAAGTTCAGTTTGATTAATAAAACAAATCTCAAGAAGAAAAAAAAAAAGAATAGTCAATATGCGTTCAGTAATGACCAAAATGTGAAGGAAAAATGTCTCATTTCTCTGTTATCATTCAATTGAACCGAATTCCAATTCCGTGTCTAACTTCTCTACTTGAGTATCATGGCATTTAGCATGGACGATCAAAAAATCTTTAAAAGGCTTTTCTTGGGAATTAGGTGAACCTGCTTGTGCAACCGGAAAAGGAGCCGGTGATCGTCGAGGACAGAGGGAGCATGGACTTGTAGGAGATCCAAGGCGGCGTCAATGTCGCCGAGCTCTAGTGACCGTCTGACTTGTAAAATCAGCAGTCGCAACTGGTACGACGAAGAGGAAGGTGAAGAAGACGAAGGAGACGACGACGGCGAGCACGGAGAAAGCGCCGGTTCTTCGATTAAGTTCTCAGATTTAGCGAAATCAATGACTAGGGCGTCCAGAGCCTCCCAATTCACAGGCGTGGAGTCCATGTTTTCGAGAGCAAATCTCTTCTGTGATCGCTCGCAGTTCTGATAATTGGTTCCCCGAACAGAGATACAGAGGGGGCGGAGGTTGATTGGGATTTATTTGGGGAGGGATTCGCTACGTGCAAGGAAGATGGCGACGGAATGAAGGGTAATATGGTGGCCACGTGTACAGCAGCCAGGGTGGAAGTTTAGGCCGTCTATGCTACTATTGCCTCCCGCTGGAAAATCTGTACAGAATGAACTCTCGATTTGTATGTCATAATTCTCGAACAAGGGTAAACTCCATAAATTACATAATTGGTACCCAACTACTTAGAAATTCTTAATCCGACCCTATTAATTTTTCCATAAAGGAATCTGGCTAATGAAATTTTAGCAACGTTGCCCCATCCCCAATCCTACTCAAACAAAAACGAGGGTGAAATGCCATGTCGTCGTCAACGTGGCAATGATAAGGCCCGGCGGCATAAATCAGAGCCCAATTTACCCATTCCCACTTTCCATTTATTTAATAATGGACGTGCACTTCTTAACATAATATATCTAACACTTATTAAATATGTACTCATCAAAACAATACATTTAATATCTATTAAATGTAAGAAAAACTCACACTAAAAAATAAATTTCACAGATATCTAACAAATGTCAAGTGTGCTGCATACATTCAAAATCTGATCTGTTCTTTTATTTATTTCCCATGGATTGGTATCTTTGCACCAACAACTTGATATTTAATCACCTCTTTATTGTATATGTCCTTCTCAAACGCTTTCAATACTTTATATATTTAGTACATTGAGAAAATCATTCATGTTATAATTGTCTTTATAATTTTTCACTTTTATTTATCTCCAAACAAACGGGCAATCTTCCTTTTTTTTTGGTAATGCCAACCAAACCTCTCATTTTCCCTGATACTAATTTAAATTATACGAATAAGGGAGGCAAGAATTGACACTTCAAGTATGCAATCTTGTTTCTTAATATTCACCCACGAAGAGTGTGGTATATTTTAAAAAGTAAAAAAAATTTAAGCTAAGATACATCTGTCCCTTCAAAATTTTAGTATCTATTAATTCTAAAATATTTCAGAATAACTTTATCCCCTCGTTTGTCATAAATTCACAATATATTATGTTAGGTGTAGGTTTAATTTGAGTCATCTATTAAACTATATTTTTAAAATTAAAAAATGATATAAAATATAAAAATAAATATTGAATTAAAAAAAAAGATGGGAGAATGTAACACCCATAAATTTATTGTTGAATATTCCGTATTGTTTGGACTAGTTAGTCCTGTTATTTATCTATTTATTATTTTAAGTGCGTATTTTACCGCCGTGAGGTGAGGTCTATGGTCCCGATGTTCGTGGAACAGCTGTACGGCCAAATCAGCTGGGCGCCTTGAGGCGCGATCTGGTGCAGCAGCGGGTCGCGCTCCAGTGGACCCTCGAGGCGCGATCAGCTGAAGGCGTCAGGCGCTTAGGGTGGTTGTGCAGCGGCATTGTAGCAGCCAAGCCGAGGACGACCCGAACTCTGTTCTTTATACCTGGTATACACCTGCTGTGTTGTGTTCTGTTGATGCTTCCGCTGCGTTTGGGTGGGTGACAGAGGGCAGATGACAGGAGGGAAGGGTTTCTCGATCGCGAAGGCGGAGAGAGGGGATTTGGGATCTCTTGTCTGCCGCACGGTGAGGGGTTTTGGTGTGCCGTGATTATATGCCAAATCACCCACCCTGACACGCGCATCCTCTTTTCTTCTTTATTCATACCAAAAGAGGCGAGAGCTGCTATATATATATATATATATATGAAGAAGGAAGCTCGAGAAGGGTTTGCTCGTTCGAGGAAGAAGAAGCACATCGATGCTGAAGTAATTGACGGCTGAGGACGCTTGAGAGGTGAGATTTTCTCCTCTGCTTTATGTTCTTTTGGGTTGTATGCAAATGATTGAGGCAATGGGATCAGGAGACGGTGGAGTCAGGCTGCAAAACTCCACTAGAACAGTGGTTGCCTTCCAAGAAGGATATTATATTTTTAAAAAATAAATAAATAAATAACCGAAGGAGGTTTGCGCAAACCCCCTCGGGGATGTTAGGATACCCCGTAGACCGCCACTAATGATGGTGTGGGGTATCAGTATAGATCAATTTGACGACTCTTGAGGCTAAGATGTATTTAATATCCCTTGCTGATTGATTATTGCGAGTCTTCCTCCCTGTCTTGTAATTTTGGAACTTTGACCAGCTACACTTTGATCCAATATCCCTTAATCTCGTAAGTGCCTTTTTTATATCAAAATATATTTTTAAAATTAAAATATACATTTAAAACGTGATATTTTATAAATAAATGCAATATTATTTTTTTAATATATATTTTTGAAACATATTTTTTTAAATTATATTCTTTAATACATTTTTGAGTTAAAAATTTATGTAAAAAATTTAGAAATTTGGAAGTTGATATAAATAAAGAATAAATTAAAAAATCAAAATAGAAATTTAAGTGACAAAATTATGAATAAAGGACTAATATATATGTGTGTGTGTGTGTGTGTATTTATATATGTTATATATGAACAATATATTTATATGTGTGTGTTTGTGTGTGTGTGCATAGATAAATATTTATATATGTACATATATGTGTATATATATGCATGTAAAATATGTGTATGTAGATGTGTGTACATATACACGTATATAGCTGGTCTTGTGTGAAAGAGTGAGGGAGAGAAATTTTTTTTTTTTTTTACAAAAATGAAGCAATTATTTTTGAAACTAAATATAGTTGTCTCAAAAGTATGTATTTTTAAAGTATAGCTAAAAAAATATTTTCAAAATTTTTATCTTAAAAACAAAAAAAGGCGGTCTCTAAATTTGTAAAATAACAGTCTTGTAATTGTCGCAAAACCAACCAAGTCGCTCCCGAGCACCTCCATACCCCGTATGATTGTGACCAAATTAAGTTTACATGTATCCTACAGTTAGGAAGACTATTTCATTTAGAACTCTACTACATTAAACAAGACCATGGAACCCTTTCTGTACGAGTCCTTACTAATAATTATTTGTCCCCAAATTATGAGTGACGCATCGCATATCTTAATCTCTGAGATACTACCAAAGGTGAGTAAATTAATATTTATGTCCTAATTATGGTGCAATTCAGTCTCTTTGTCATTATAGCCTAATCATGACCATTAGAATACAAGTTTTTATATCAACCCTCTATTTTGAATAATTATGTATCAATCACGAAATATATATATAACACAAAGAATAATTCTAAACATACTTCTAGAGCTTTGAACTCAAAAGTGATAAGTATTTATTACACTCTGCACTTTTAATTATTACCTTTTCAGTATCATCCGTTGAACTAAAATTTTGATAGTATCAAATACGGCAACCACCAAACAAGATTAACATAACACATTTAGGTTAAAATACCAGTCACACCAATATTAATTATCATTGATACTACAACTATTGATCTCATCCTTAATTAATTTAGTGGACCCATTTCTAAATATCTACTTGTTCACTCCAGTATTTCTATATCATCATCTTGAGATGATATCGTACATAACAACTGAGCAAGTATAATGCATAACTGTCTAAATGGATTATTACTATCTAGTTAATAACAGATGTTTTAGACATTAAAATAATTTATAAATGATATAGATCTCATGTCAAAGTCTCATTATACCTATTCACTTGCAAAACATTTCATAAACTCGTATCAAAATAATAATATTTATTCGGATATTTAATAAACATTATTAAAATAAATAATAAATAAACGCTTCATCTATATATTTCTAATTATTTCAAGAACACATATGCAGACGGGCTGAATGTGATGGAAGGTGTAACCAGCAGCACAAGGTTGAGATAAGGGAGGAAGGATTTCATTTGTGAACAGATAGCTATTTTGGTCAGATGGGTTAGATGGTCCTTCGAATGTAAAATTATTATAGCCCTGCGGTGGTAGGTCCTAAACAGTAATTATATTCTGAAAGGCCCTAAATACTCCTTGATTAGATCCTATCACTTCCAAAGTCTGACCTGGACATGGCCCATCCAGAGGCCCACCATATCAAGTCTTGGTCGAAGAATATTCAGATGCAAAAAGAATTACTTCTTATCTACCAATTACTTCCAAAAGAATTCCTTTGATGCAACTTGGATCCATGAGCATTTATACAAAAGGTAATTGGAAGGAGTGGTATCAAGTGTTAACCCAATCAGAACATCAGAGATTTGACAAGCTATCCCAGAGAAGGTCCCATACCCACCCAAACCACCTTAGTTTCCTAAGATCATCTGATGAGATGGTTCTAAAAGACCAAAATATCCATCAAACATTCGCTAAATTACAAGACATCAATTATCGTTTATATAAACATATAAGCTTAGAAAGTCAGGCTTATTGAAGTAAGCTGGAGGGAAAATTTTTAAACTTTTCAGCTTGGCAACTTCTTTTAGACTCATTTAATTTTCCGCAAGGAAAAAAAAACAGAGAAAAGAAACAAAGAAACAAAGAATCAATATAATTCCTCACCATTTTGACAATAAAGAAACTCGCAGAATCTATTTCATCTTCATTTTTCAATTTCCATTTTCAATCCAGCTACATCCGGAAGGTTTGGCCAATCCTTTGCTCTCCATTGACTTTCTCACTCTTACTGAATCATCCCATCTTCCTGCTTTGGCATACGTATTTGCCAATGTCACATAATGTCCAGCATATTTAGGCTCTAGGAGGACTAGATGTTCTGAAGCTAGCATTGCAATACTAAGATTATCATGAGCTTGAGACGCAGCAAGTATAGCACCCCAAATACGCTTATCTGGCTGAAGAGGCATTCTCTTAGCAAAGTCGACAGCTTGTTCAAGCCGACCAGCACGTGCTAGTAAATCAACAACACAGGAAAAGTGTTCCATTTCTGGATTGAAGCCAAATGCATTTACCATTTCATAGAAGACTTCAAGCCCTTCATCTACAAGACCTGAGTGACTACAAGCCGAAAGCACTGAGGCAAAAGTCACAGAGTTGGGACGAAGGCCAGAATGAGTCATCTCTTGCCTAAGTTGAAGAGCTGCTTGACCAAACCCGTGCATTCCTAAACCTCTGATCATTGTGTTCCACGATATTAAATCTCTACTTACCATGTTAGAAAACACAGAATACGCAGTTTTAATGGATCCACATCTTGAATACATATGAATAAATGCATTCCAAATAGGTATGACCATACTTAAACTGCTTTTTATGATGTAGGCATGTGTTTGTTTCCCAAAATCCAGATCACACACAGGCAAAATAGCGGTGATAGTGGTTGGGTCATTCCGTAGTCCCATGCTTTGCATTTTTCTGAAACAGTCGAGTCCAAGATTTTTCATTCCCAGATCAGCATAACTAAGAATCATGGCATTCCAGGTAACTACATCCGAGTGGTCCATCAAGTTGAATACGTTTCTGGCATCTCTTATTCTCCTACAGTTAGCATACATTGTCAACAATGCAGGTCCAGCGGACTTATAGAACGAAAACCCACATACAGTTTTGATCCCATAGGCTTGAATTTCTTGCCCACATAGTAAAGCACGTAGATGCCTGCAGGAAACAAGTATACCGGAAATACCATCCAAATCAGGGAAAACTCTGCCTTTACTTGCCATATCCTTGAATAATTTTAACGCTATGTCATGCTTCCCAATCCCTGAATAACCCGATATCAAAGTGGTCCACGAGATAATATTAGGCTCTCTGATCTGTTCAAAAACCTTCCAAGCCTCATCACATTGGCCCATTCTGCAGTAAGCATCCATTGTAGTATTCCAAGTCACCAAATCAGGTTCAAAGCCATCCAATCTCATGGATTTCAATAAATCCAAAGCTGATACAAGAAACCCATTCGACACATACCCTGAAACCATTATATTCCATGACAACAGATTCCTTTCCACCATTTGGTCAAGAATCCTTCTAGCGCTCTCAACATCCCCACACTTCGAATACATATCAATCAAAGAATTGCAAACTTGTAAATTCAATTCAGCACCATAAGTAACTACATCTTTGTGGACTTGGATCCCTACTTTGATCTGCCGAGATTGTGCGCATGCCCTCAAGACCTTAGGAAACACATACCTGTCAGGTACAACACCCCTTAATTTCATCCCACTATAACATCCTATGCACTCACTCGTCATCCCACTCCTCGAGTAAAACGAAAGGATTGCAGTCCACACAAACACATTTGGTTTTGGCATTTTCTCGAACAAAAGGTTGGCAGATCTTGAATCCTCGCAATCCGCATACATTTGAACTAATTTGGTGGTCATGAAAGGATTGCAATCTAGCCCATGCAGAATGATTTGCTGATGGACTTGTCGTCCCAGCTCTAGTGCTTTTATATTCTGCAAAGTTGAAGTAAATGATTGAGCTCCAGCGAAGAGAGGGATCTCAAATGGGTTGTGGACAAAAATGAGGCCTTTCTGTGGAAGAGCCATATTCTCATTTCATTTGAAACTTCTGATCGCGAATATATATGCTGTTGGATGGAGAACTCGGCGGCCTCGACCGTCAAAGAAAGGGGAGTACGATCCCGCAACGCAATGTAAAAGGATTTGGACCGGTCCAGGCACGGTATTTTGTACGGTGTTTGGACCGCCCCGGTTCTAGACCACTCTCTGATAAAAACAGATTTAATTCCTTTAAAAGAAAAAAGTATGGGAAAATGATTCAGAATTTTTTTAAAAAAATATTATTCCACCTCCAGGTTAAAATTAAATTAAACTCAAACACACACTTATAGTCATTTACAATATAATAGATCATGGTCTCCTCTCTTTCTCTCACGGGAATTCAATTTCAAACCGTCACAATAAAAATAAAATAATAATAGTTTGGATGTGGGTAATCTGTCTTGATTAACTCTATACATTTGGAATTTCTAAAAAATTAAATAAGCCACGTGAGTCGGTCCACTCTTCTCAATTTTACAATTTAATGTAGTTGTAATGTTCTTCTACATCTTTTCTTTTGTAATTTTTAGAAAAAATTTTACTTATAAATTTTTTATTTAAATCTTATTTTTAATGCTTCATAATTTATTAAAAATTCAACATTTAAAGAAATTTAACATATTCATTTTTTTAAACATACAGATCAAAAGTTCTTGAAAAATTCTACACACTCACATGTACTTTAGATTGCACTGTCTTTTCCTATAGTATTTTCAAAATTTGTACAATTTATTTACCAAAAATTTCATAAATTGATGAATGAAGTTGTAAAAATTAAAATAGGAGGGACATATAAAAAAATGCCGTGCTATTGTGAAACCGCCATATTGAATCCCAGAATAAGAAAGCGGTTGACGTGTATTTTGTTACTAAATGCTCGTTTATTGAACGGACTTTGAAATTAAGACGGAGTAGTTCCACTCATCTTACCCTCCGTTCGATGCCACAACGGAGTTCGAAATTAAGAAAAGGAGTGGCTCCATTGACCTTACTCATCTGCGTTAATTGCTATTCTTCATTTGCATGTATGTGCTCCTCCCCCTCATAAATGCTACCTATAAACGAATGTAAGTTGATGGAACTTAAACTAGCGAGATTTAATCTAAGCCCTTCTTCTTCTTCTGCCCTCTCTCTCTCTCTCTCTCTCTCTCTCTCTCTCTCTCTTATTACACGTTCCAGTGAGAGGCTCTCAAATGGAGAACATCTGAGCCATCAAAGAAGGGTCCAGAACTTTTTTTCTTTTTTTCCCTTTGTGGGGGGGGGGGGGGGGTGGTAGAGTTCCAGCCCGCAAGAACTGCGTTTTGAAGCTGCAAGGGCATGATATAGACAATACAAACACAAGACAACGGAAGCCAAGAGGAAATAATAAACAGACAAGGAACAAATCAACCATGATGGCGAAGAGAAATTGAAGGAATCATACTACCTGAATCAATTCTATTAACAAAAAGCATGTTTATGTATCTGTTCAATTACAACGCTTCATCCAAACAAAGTTCTATCTGAGAGGCAAATCCAATCACTCAATCACAGGCAATAAATATAAATGACAACATCCCCCACCCTCCCCACCTTAAAAAAGAAAAAATACAAAAAGCCAAAATTGAGGGAAAAAATCTCTGTGAGCCATGTTTAACACTTTGTCAGTATTTCAGCACCATCCTCTGTTATCAAAATGGTATGTTCAAACTGCGCCGATAGGCTTCCATCCTCAGTAACAACTGTCCAATTATCATCCCACATTATAGGATTTATACTCCCAATTGTCAGCATCGGCTCTGCACAAGCACAATATTGAAAAGTATATTTAAAATAAAAAAAAGAAGAAAATTGATAGTAATTACTAAATAATGACTCTTCATATGTCTACAGAAATTAACTTACCATACATCCTCTTTAACTGCAGATTCTCAAAGTCTTAAAGCTAACAAATCTCATAGCTTAACTAAACTTTCACATTCTTAATTATTTTAAAATCAAACCTCATCATCTCAGCTTCCCAAATTCAAGCCCACAGACACCCATTTCTTTCCAATTATATTTCTCCCGTATGACATTTCTATCATTAAAAAATATAAGTGCATTGCTAAGTTTTCCCTACCATGTTGATTTTTCAATAAATAGTAGAAACATAAATATATCAATAGAAAAGCTATAACAGTTTATTAGGAACCAAGGAACATTAAATTCAAACATATTTAATATAACAGAATTATCAAAAGGATTCAGGCATTTATTTCGAAGACATTTTCCTTGGTTTATGTAAATAAGTCTACTCTGAAGCCTAAGCGCGCCCATGAACCTATACATACAAATCATCAGCCACTGACAAGCACATAAATAACAAGCCGACTCATGGACCCTACCAAATCCAAGCAATAAGACCATAAGGGCCAAGCCCAAATAAGCAGAGGCCTAAACAAGCTCAGGTTTAGCTTGGCTTTGCTCATCTAGGTAATAAGCCCAAAATATTAAGTTCATGTGCAGCTCCTCAATTTAGCCAGCTGAGACTCAAGCTAGCCATTAACAAACTAAGGCTCAAGTGGCTTATGACAGCTTTGGTTGTTTCCAGCCCTAAAAATATGACTATGCATATCATGGGCAATGTGTTCAATCATTAGAGAGATAGCATCCAATGTAACAGCCCTCTTCCCATAAGTAAAATATAGAAGGTACATTAAGGAATACTAAGCTAATTAAGGAGTGCCAACAAAAGTAATTTGGAAAAATGAATATGTAATGGCAATTGTAAATGTCTGATTCAACATCATGGTAAAGCAATTTGGAAAAATGAATATGTATTACCAATTGTAAATGTCTGATTCAACATCATGCGTCCATGACCATTATTCCCTAGATAGGCAAAAAAAAAAAAATATTGGGTCAAATATTAGCAGTTAGAATTTCAAGGAAATTTGAGAAGTTCGTTAATGCAAGCAATGAACTCAAAAGGATTAACTGTAATGTAGGATAACTGGATCAGCATGGAAAACACGCCCCACTCCATGACCAACAAACTGTTCCACAACACCATAACGGTGTCTATCTGCATGATCACTTTAAACAGAAAATTAGTTAGAGCAATTATGTATGAAGAGTTAATAAATATATTTCTTTTTGTCTTGAATGTCAATTTCAATATCAAATTCCATGGTGCTAAACATTAAGGGATATAAGATGCGAACATGACACACATTCCCTTTGAAAGTTTCAAATCCCAGCAGTAGAAATCAGAAATCAATATCCGGTAAATAAAGTTGGAGACAGCACCATGAAAATGCTTTATCAGACACACTAAGAATGCACTGGCTCTAAAAACTAACTTGCAAGGTCTTCAGGGCACACAAAGGAAATACACAAGAACTAGATAAGCTGAAAATCTTAGAGAATGCCTTACTGAATTATTTTTCCGATTTGCTTGTACTCCACTCCTGGTGCGCATATTGATATTGCCTTGTCTAGGCATTCCTTTGTCACCTAAACCACGAGCAGTTCTGAAGCATCACTAAGCTTCTCATAATGTTAATAGCCAATGACATAAATTTAAACAAAAGAAAGATAGATGATAAGTTAACTTGAACGTCGACTACAATCAAAATCAAAGGACAATGGACATTTTGGTTCTTAACCTAAGAGTTCGGAAGTAATTAATGTGCAAAATTACAATGGATAATGAACACTGGCTATACTTACAGAACTCCTCCTAAGTCTTGATAATCAGAATTATTACAGATTTATCTACGCACATCATGGACAGATCCTAGTCCTCCCTCCAGTAAATGAGAAAATTAAAGTTAAGTGCAGAGACTCAGACACCAGACTAAAATGGATAAAATGTAAATATTTCAAAACACAGCATTCATCTTAGCTTATTATTCTAGTAAATTATACCTGTACCAAGTTTTTGGCTTCATCATCAACATCTCCACAAAAGAAAGTTGCTGATGTATCACCATGATAACCCTGCGAATTACAATCAAGTTACATGAATGGAGATATGATCACATATAATAACAACTTCTTTTAAAAGAATTTTAAATGAATATACTGGCAAAAACAAAGATATAAAATATGCAACTAAGAGTTTATTGGATATCAGGTGAGGCGTAAAGTGGCTTCTTTGTGGGACACTTTTAGAGGTGAATAAATATTAAATGTGAGCTCTCAAGTAATTAGTTCTGGACCTCACATGACCTAATGAAACCAGCTTCATAGTAAAGGAGGTAGAATTTTAAGCTTGAAGGACCAAAGCCCAGGGTAAGATTGCAGAATCATGGGACTCCTCTCTCTCTCTCTCTCTCTCTCTCTCTCTCTCTCTCTATACACACACACACACACACATATATAGATAGATAGATAGATAGATAGATAGATAGATAGATATACGAGTTAGCCTATTTGGATCATATTTCCATAAGTGTCACATCTTTCTTTTATTCAGCTTTATGTTCTACACACACACACACACACAACATAATATATATATATATATGTATATCTATATCTATACACACACACACACATATGCATGTACATATATGTACGTGTGTGTGTGTGTGTGTGTGTGTGTAATGTCAAAAGGCCACAGTTTGTGAGAAGACATGATTTTAGATATAGAAGAACTATTAGTTATGACCATCAGGTGTGATTGAACGTTAAAAACAAATAAATAAATAAAATAGACATGATAGTTCATAGGAAATATGCGAGCTCAAGGGAATCTGTTGAACCATGGTTTGAAGAATTCAGTAACAAAGTTGACAGGACCTTCAAAATACAGTCAATGTTAAAATATAAAAGGGCCCCATGGCTGAAAAGCAAAACACTTCTACAACTAATTGGTTCAGCCATATAAATGTTTTGCCATTCTATGCAATCAAGAGAATGGATTATATTAAACTACATTGTCATTCATCTTTCCTCATAAGCAGAGTTATGATTTAATTTGTGTGTCCACCTGTGTGTCTGTTAAAAAGGAAGGGAGGGGGGTTGGAGTTCTACATACATCGTCATGTGGCAAAGAGGACACAGAACCCAATGCCACACTGCTTCTATAGAATATGCCAAGATTAATCAAGTCATTTCTTCAACCCCCACCCCAAAAATAAATAAATAAATAAAAGAAGAAAAAACACAAAGACACAAAATTTGACATGCAGATGGGTGCTGACAAGGATATCGCCATTGAAGGGACAGAACCGCTTACATTTAAATAAACGGTGACATCAATATTGATAATATCACCATCCTGCAAATGTCAATATCTAACAATGAGTTTTCAATACAAAAATATGATAATTGATATAAAAGGATAAAGTACTTCAAGTAGTGAACAATGCAAACCTCAAGTGCACGGGAATCTGGAATTCCATGGCAAATACATTCATTCACCGATGTGCAGACACTTTTTGGAAATCCACCATAACCAAGAGGTGAAGGATAAGCTCCATTGTCAATAATCATTTGGTGAACTGCTTCATCAATTGCATCTGTTGGTATGCCTGGCTGCCAATAAAAGCAGCAACTAAAATTTCATAGAAAAGTTTATTATTCTGTTGCTCCTTCACTACACAACCTGATGCTAGGTGACAACAGCTTTCCAGCACCACGCCACCATCTTGTCAACAAGTAAACTACTCATAAAATAGCCAAGATAGGATAGCTGAGAAGATCAGTCATGGAAACAGTTTGTTTTCACTTCCAAAGGACTCCTTAACAGAAAAATCTAGAACTAGATCCAACTCTTACAAAGCCTAATTGAAGCGGTCTAATCTAAGAAAATAATTAGAAGTATAGTTACCCAATTCATTCAGGCATGGACAGTTCATTCCCAAAGCTATACGGACCTACTTTGACCTCATGGTATAATTAGATCCAAACTTGAACTCATGTCTCAAGCTTGGCAGCCCAAAGCATTTGCCATAAGATAAGGCCATGCCCAGTCAGCTGCCTCATGGTTGTTGATTGAAGCCAAATATGGTTAAGAGTGAGAGCCCTTTATAAAAGATAGTAACTGAAGAAAAGATTAATATGTTACCTTGACCAAAGTCCCTGCATATTCCAGAACTTGTGCAGCGAGCCTTCCCGAAGCTCTCATGCAATCTATCCCCTTCATATCATGCACTTCAGGACCACTAGCAATTCCAGGTGGCTTTCGAGATTTGACATAAGAAGGCCTTGGTATGTAATCTGGAACAGGTCGATGGGGAGAAACCTTTCCTGGTTTCAGACGTTTACGCTTTCCACCTGGTAATTCATCTAGATTTCTGCTATTTTCAATAGAAAGTAAGTAATACTAACAGAGAAGCTCAATATTGTAGATACAATACACTGAAATTATGATGCTCCACACATGCACCATGTCAATATGTAGATTTATACCTGTTTTATCATTAGCACAAAGAAATTTATCCCCTCAATATATATGCATGTCTGTAATTATACACATTCTTCATCTGAACATTGAACTTTCACCAAATTATTTTTCTTGAAATGGGATCACTTTTCTAACTTTTGGATCCATTGTTTTCATGATACACAAAAATATCAAACATTTTTAAATCCTCCACGACACAATAGAATGGCAGTTGTGATACCAGTTGCTAGAAACAGCTACACCATGATCAACAGGGAACAGCATAATTCTCACAACATCAGAAGATCAACATCTAGAAACAGAGTAAGAAGTTGAATAAATACCTTCTATTAAATAACATATCAGCCAATCCAGAAAATGTTCTTGACAATTGCATGGACAAATGTTTGCTTCCTGTGTGCAAAGAAAAAAAGAAAAACGAAATATGGTTATCTTTATATAATCCTAAGTCCCAAGTCTGAAAGCAAGCCAGAGATCTCACAATCTTTTCATTACCGCTTCCTATGGTCTTGATAATGTCACATTTATAATACAAAAGTAATGGGACAAATGACAGTTCTAACACCATATATTTACAATGCACAAGCAACGGACATAGGACAACATGTATATTCCAACAGTCCAAAGATTAACTTCTGCCTATTTCCATAATCTTCCAAGCAAACAGTGTATCAGCAGAATCCCATAACATTTATTGCTCTCAAAACTTCAAAGATGTGAAGCCAATAGGAGAAGCAACCTTCTCAGAGAATCTTAACAGCAAGGCCATCAATCAAGGATGTAAGGTTACCCTGCTTTTTTAGGATAAGAAGGGGTATAGAAACTGCCTTGAGCCAAATGTTCCTTGTTAATCCCAGGATGAAATCCTAGAAAGGCCCTGGCACCATGCTTAATGCATGCAACTACCATGCTTAATGCGTGCAACTTAGAAGGAAGTGGTGCTTCCCATGGTGGAAGGGTGAGTGTCAGGAGCCAGCAAAAGAGAACTACAAAAACCAGATACAGTTCCCTTCCCCACATTTTCAAAATGAACTAGGGTTTATTCAGGTTGATCTCATATACAATAGTGTTTGATGGGGCTAAATGTCAAAATATGGGGGGAAAAAGGGAAAAATTACCAAGCCAGATGTCTCGGTAATAATATTGACCTGGAGGACATGTTTGGATATTAATGACAGGGAGAATTTAAAACAAAATTTTTACCAACTAAGGTAATTTGGTTTCCCAAAATACACTCCAACATCCAAATATAAATTCTCTAAAGCTTCTCTGATAACATAAACATTATTCTCATTTGCAAAGGTTTACCATTGATGTTTGATAAAAGCTCATTATTGTTCGGTATTAATCTTTGCTTCGACATAGCTTCTTCTCATTCAACATTAGTCTTTGCTTTGACATAACTTTTTCTCGTACGTAAAGGGTTCGACATCATTGTTTACTTTGACATTGAGTAAAGGACAGTCAACATTGCATCATAGCAAAGGGTTTGACATTGGTGTTTCTTCCACCATTCTCTCTCTCTCTCTCTCTCTCTCTCTTGCTGATGCAAAAGACAGTCACCTTCAACTTCGCATTCGAGTGTGTATCATATATTTGCATATATGTGGACAATATATGTATTTGAGTCTACTATCTATTATTTGCTCCTCATCCTCTCCTCTTCTTGTTGGACAATTAAATTGTATCTATATCACAGTTACGTATCTATAAATTTATAATAAATTTACAAGCAAAATTTTGTAAATTTAGAATCATACATCTATAAAATTACAAGTATAAATTTGTAAATTTACAAGCAAATATCTATAAATTCACAAGCACGAATCTATAAATTTACAAGCACATATTTGTAAAATTACAAACATGAATGTGTAAATCTACAAGAATTTATCTGTAAAATTGCAAATATGGATCTATAAATTAATTATAAAGAAAGAATTTACATAAATTCTTTAACAATGAGAGTATATATTTGATTGTTGACATTTGCCACAATTTAAGGAATTTGTTTCTTTATTTATTGAACTCTTATTTTTCATATCAATCTCACAATATGAAGATTTTTTTCCATATCAATATCAAGGAAAGAATTTAAATGAATTAATTATAAGGAAAGAAGTTAAATAAAATCTTTAACTATAAGAGCATATATTTGACCCTTGATGTTTGCCACAATTTAAGGAATCTGTTTTTTTTATTTACTGAATTCTTATTTTTCATATCAATCTCACAATCGGCACAATTTCTTTTTATATCAATCTCAAGGAAAGAATTTAATGAATTAATTATAAGCAAAGAATTTAAATAAATTCTTTAATAATAAGAGTACATGTTTGACAATACTTTAAATTTACAAATTTATGCATGTAACTTTGCAGATATATATACTTGTAAATTTATAGATATATACTCATAAATTTAAAAATTCATCTTTGTATTTTTAAAAATATATGCTTATAAATTTATAGACATAGGCTTGTAATTTTACAGATATATGCTTGTAAATTTACACGTTCATGCTTATAAATTCAAATATATGTGCTTGTAAATTTATAGATTCATACTTGCAATTTTATAGATATATGATTATAAATTTACAGATTAATGCTTGTAAATTTACAGATGCATGTTTGTAAATCTACAAATTCGTGCCTGCAATATGAAAAATGAGAACTCAATAAATAAGGAAATAAATTCCTTAAATTGTAGCAAACATCAAGGGTCATAATATATACTCTTATTGTTATTGAATTTATTTAAATTCTTTCCTTATAATTAATGCATTTAAATTGTTTCCTTGAGATTGATATAAAAAAAAATCTGCAAATTGTGAGATTTGATATTAAAAATAAGAATTTAATAAATAATGAAACAAATTCCTTAAATTGTGGCAAATGTCAAGGGCCAAATATATACTCCTATTGTTAAAAAATTCATTTATATTCTTTCCTCATAATTAAGTCACTTAAATTCTTTCCTTAAAATTTATATGACAAGAAAATCTACAGATTGTGAGATTGATATGGAAAGGAAGAAACTCAATGCTTGTAAATTTACAGATCCAAGCTTGTAAATTTACTAATATATGCCAACTATCCTTTGCTCAATGTCAAAACAACCGACCATGTCAAACCATATGGTAGCCGGCGAGAGGAATAGATATCAAACAACAAGAAACAAAGATTAATGTCGAACAAGAATAAGCAGCTAAAGAAGCTCATCAATGTCAAACCCTTTGCATAAAAGAATAACTAAAGCAAAGCTAATGCCAGCACTGAAGTGAAGCTAAAGTGAACCTTTTGATACAAAAGACCCAAAGAAAGAAAGAGAAAAAAAAAGAAAAAGGAAGAGAGAGGGTGAGAAACCTTTTATTTGGGTGTGGAAGGGTATTTTTTGTATCCAAATTACCTTAAGTGGGCAAAAAGTTGGAAAAACCCTTCCTGGTCAATATTTCACAATTGGGCACTCTAGGTTATTATTTTAACCAAGCTAACTGGCTTGCTAATTTTCCCTAAAAAATTCCAACCTTTTCAACTATAACAAATAGCTCCACTTTCCTGGAAAGTGGTCATTGCCTCAGCCATCATTCTTGGAGATACCCTCAATGTTGAGAATTTTCATAAAATCCTTGTTTAATTTCCCAGAATGTATCCTAATTTTAGGTAATTCTTCTTTTGATGATCAATTCAGCCTCTGAAAATTAAAATACACCATAATCATCCTAAAACTCTTCAATAAGTTTGTAATGAGCATAAAGGCCCAGTTGTGCAATTCTATGGAGTGGGGGCTAAAAACTTATTTGCCTACATTTCCACTATCACTACCCCACTCCCCCCCTCCCCCCCCCCCCACCCCCCCAAAAAAAGCAAAAAAAAAAAAAAAAGGTAAATAAAATAAAATAAAATAAAACTCTGCCTTATGTAAAGTTGCCAAACTGCAACCCTGTTAACTTTTCATTGTCAGATAGTACTATAAACATATCAGCTTAGCAGGAAACAATGGCTGCGCCAGAGTCACCCAAAATCTGACATGGAATGGAACAAGGGAAGCATGCAAATCAGTTCAAAAAATTAGAAGAAATTCAAAATGTTACAACCATAAGCCAGTTTGGATTTGTATCCCGTTGTCTGTTTTCCGATTTCAGTTTTCATTCTGTTTTCCAAAACCAGAAAACACAAAAATCTTTAAAACTTTATTGTTTTTTCATATCCTTTTTGTTTAGGAGCGAAAATAGTTCTAGGAATTCAGAAACCGACTTTTGTTGTTCCTAAAAGGGCACTCCATTAACAGTTTCCAGCAACAACCTGTCAAATTTGTTTCTCTTCCCAAAAATAGAATAAAGTTTTCAATCTATACTGTCAATTAAAGATTGTATTCTGTATGACCAAGACCAAACAACCTAAGAAAAGCCAATTTGCTAACTTAACTTATAAATGATCTCATCATCATATTATATTCCTAATAGTCTCTGCATTGGCTACGTAGAATCTTATAGCCACCATAATTTTCAAGTAGATTCTGAGCCTCAAAGCCTGATGGGGGGAAAAAAAGAACTTTCAGAATTTATGTTATTCAAAACAATCATTATTGCACAAACATATGGACTCCTCAATTAAAAGTTAAGATGTCCATTGAGTAGTAAATATATTATGAGGGCCTTTTCTGCCTAATTACAATGCAGATAATGTGACAGTGTCCAAAAGAGGGGAAAGAGGAAATGGAAACAGAAACATAAACCTAAAGCAATTTTTTCTCAACTCTCTAGTCTAACTATACAAACAAATCCACCAAACTGATGCTTCTAACAAATTGGGGATCGCATGTCAATGTCTTAAAAACAATTATAATTCGCTTGCATGACCAACCATAAAAATTAACAGAATCATCCCCTCCCCTCATGCATACTCAATAAAATAATACGAACAAAAATAAAAATAAACTATTGTCTACATTTTTTCCTTCAACCAAGTGTCTAATTTTCTTAAACAACAATGCCAGCCTTAAATGCTCAAATTTTCAAACAGAGAAAGCACTAAATACCAAATAAAAATGAAACAAAAAGAAACAAGCACCTATCCAGCATAATTTCATCAACTAACAAAAAAACAACATCGTTCTTAGAAATATAAATAGATATGTTTAGATGAGGAAAACATGCAGGCAATTGGATGAGAATAATTGAATATTACAATTTTATGCTACATATACACTAAGTATTTTATTGCTGAAATTGAAATTAAGCACTAAAATTTCAGTTATTTTGAGTTTTAAAGACTTCCAAATTTCTACTTCAATTGTCACAGAAAACTATGCGAAGTACATTTCTTGAACACATCCAGCATTTGGAAAAGCCATGTCCTTTCACTTGAAAATAAGAATATTTTTAATGAATTTTTAATTCAACAAATTCAAGTGGAAGGGGATTAAATATTTCCAAACACAATTCATTACGAAATCTAAGAATTTTGCGCAATTTTAAATCTTTATTTGCTTTATCAAACAGGAGCTAACCCTGAATAAGGACGATACTGCATCTAAAAGAGTAAGCCCTCTGCGAACAAATTT